TCCGACTTCCTGGGATGTGATGCGCAGGAGGTCGTCTTTGGTGCCAGCATGACGGCCTTGGTCCTTCACCTCTCCCGAGCCTTAGGGCCAGCCCTGGCAGCCTCGGCGTCGTCAAAAGATCGCAACGTGGTGCTCGATCCCATGAGCCACGGTGCCAATGTGTGGCCCTGGCGGAAGCTCGCGGCGGACCTTGAAGCCGAGGTGCGCTGGCTGCCCGTGAAAGCAAAAAGCCTCTCTCTGGATACGAGCGACCAAGCACTCGGCACAGTGATCGACAGAAACACATGTTTCGTGGCCGCGGGAGCTGCCTCAAACGGTGTTGGGTCTATTCACGACGTCCAGAAGCTCTGCCAAACTGCGAAAGAGCTGTCAGAGGAAAGGGCCTTGACTTTTGTGGATGCCTCCTGGCCAGATGTTGGTACAGTGTGTGCTGCAACGCCCTTTGTTTGGGCTGCGCCGGTCTGAGCAGAGGCTGTGCACTTTGCTCCTCACGGTCACGTCAACGTGCATCGTATCGGCCCGCGGCTTGGGCAAAGCAGGGTATCTGAAGCCGCCAATGTCAATGCAAACACTGCCATATGCTGTATAAGCACGAGTCGAAATTACTGTGAATCGCTCAATTCTTCTCAGGCTGCGATTTCTTGGTTTGTTCTCCGTACAAGTTCTTCGGCCCTCACGCAGGCCAGGCCGTCTGCCCTGTGGGCCGTGAGCACAGGCAGTCGCCGCTCTATGCCGTCCCAAAAAGGCATCCTCTTCGGACGGCGCCGACTCCTGGAGTCTTTGCCAGCAGATCGCTTGGCCGCTTGGCCCCGCTCGGTCACGGCGCACGGCCCGCTGTGCTGCCCACGTCAGCCTGCGAGGACTGCTCCGATGACTCCTTGCCGAGCATGGCCAACGGCCACATGTCTCGCTGGGAGGTCGGCACCCAGAACTACGAGGCCCTCTATAGAGTCAAAGTATACAAATTGAGAGTACCTTGCTGGTCTGGGAATCAGGCACTGGCAGGCGTCACTGCTGTCCCATCCTCAGATGGGCACCAGAAGAGCTGACTGAGTGCAGTGCAATGCATCCGAGGCCGTGAACTACCTGGCCGGCTTGGGCCACCGCTTCGGGGGAGCTGCTCCAAGCGCGCCACGTCCAGAGCGCCTGGAAGCAGGCCGGTCTTTCGGGCTTGCCGGCCGGAAGTCAGGGACGGCAGGAGGGATCTGAAGAGGGATCCGAAAGCGAACGAACTGTGCGAGCTGCAGAGGTTGGCATGCCATCGAGGCTCACGAGAATGATCTGAAGCGGCGCTTCTTGGTCCGAGCCTCATCTCGAAGTGGAGATGATTCCAAGATCGTGTCACAAGCACATATCAGCGCTGCGCCTCTGTCAAGGAAGGCTTGCAGAGCATCCGGACAGTCCACCTGCTGGGCACTTGGCCATCACATTCCCTTGACAATCTAGTAGCAGGGGTGAAGTGCATGTGGGGTGGCAGTCTTATTTGGTGCTGTATCTGTGCTCGTGGAGACCATTCCAGGTTGGGGGAAGAGGATCCGACCCAAATCGCACATCGCACTGCCACCTTCGCCGTGTGCAAGGAAAGCCTCGCACCACAGGAGAACACACACACACAGAGACCAGCAGTTCCCCGATGTTCCACGCCTCCACGCCTCGGCACTCACAGGAGCTTGCCAACAGACTCTGCAGCAGGTGCCAGCGATCGTCCAGAGCCAATAGTCAGAAACCCTGTGCCTTCCGTTCGACCGACAGGGGCATCTGGTGCACTGCTGGCAACCACTATGCAGGGTTTTGGGACGCACACAGCGGCGGCCTTGCGACCAACGAGGAGGGAATGGCTCGTGCCAGTCTCGGACCCTGAACTTCTGAACTACTGAGCATTTTTGCAGCGTGCCGCTGAAGGCTTGGGCTTGTTGCACTATAACTCCCTCGGCGAGGCCCTGTGAGAGACCGCACAGTGCTGGTTGTTGAGCCGCGGCATGCTGTGCCCTCGTCCGCAGAGGTGGATCGTATCCTCGCGGCTCTTGAGGACGCATGAGATCTGATCTTAAGTCGCTAGAGCAACAACGCCTTCATCATCATGCAGCAGGTGCAGCAGGCCAGGTTCGGACAACACTCCTGGAAGGTCACACATCCAACAGTGTGAGACAACACGATGGCGAGTCGCGTTGCAAGATTGCTTGGTACGTTGCCAGGCCATCCTTTCCCTTCAGGGACGTGTTGGCGCTGCGGAGGCAGAGCAGCCTAGAGGTTACAGCACCAAGAGGCCGTGGGCTGTTCGAGAAGGAGCGCGATACGAGAGCAGCAGCGAACCCTGCATTGAGCAAAGGATAGCAAATGAAGGCGTCTGTGTGTGTGTGTGTGTGTCGGGGCTTTGTGGGGATTTTGTGAGTCCCGATGCTGTCACATTCCCCACGCATGGCTTCCATGGTTGAGGTTTTCTTCCAGGCCCTTGGGTCTCCTGATCAGCCTGCAAGCCCATCCAAAGCCCTCATCCGCCGGATTCATGGATTCCTCCTCTGCCCCAGCTGGAACTGCCCCCCCCATTCCACCAGCAGCCATCGGCGACGACGGCTGCCAGAGATGTTGCGCCTTTCGGTTATAGTTATAGACATAGAGTTTTAGGATCCAGGGTTAATATGATTGGTTGAAGCTGCAGCTTTCTGATAGGCTTCGCAAGGGTAACCTCGGAACAAGTGATATACGTTAGTTGTTAGTTGGTGACGCGAACGCCATGACTCTGGAGATAGCCTGCCTGTTTCGGGTTGTTTCGCGGGTCGATGGGGACGCGCCGTAGGTTTTCTTTGGGGGGTGGGGGGAGCGGGCGGGGTGGATGATAATGTCGGCGACCATGCCCAAAAACACACTGGCATTTACAGCGTTCTTGCCCTTTGCACAACATAATGCAAAAGGGACTTAAAAGGGATGTCTGACGTTTCTTGAACAAGACACCCTGTCACAAGCGCGCATGCCTGTTGTGAACAGCATTCTTGCGTCGGGTGTAGCGGTTCGGCTGGGTTTGGCAGCACACCCGTCTCTCACATGTACATGCAGGGCTGTACAGTTGTCGTTGTTGCAGTTGATGCCAGCATTGCTTCTGTGTGGTGTACAAAGCTCCGGTGCTGGCACATTGCTGGGTTATATAGATCTCTTGATTTTCCCATCCGCACGCCCGGGAAGAGTTTCTGCTGCCTAGGGATTACAGGCATGTCCGACCAATGAAAGTCTCGGCTCAAGTAGGGGCTCCGCGCGCCCCGAGACGGAAACTTCCTATAGGTGAAGGAAGGCCAAAGCTGCTTGACTAGCGCTGCTTGCACTCCGTGCCATGTCACCGTCTCCGGGCGGCCATGGGTGGAAGAGGGAATTGAGAAGATGTTTGGGGGCTATGACAGCCCAGCTTGAAGCGGCAGCGGCCTCGTCACCTGGGGGCTTCGAAAGCTTTGAAGACGTCTACACTGTTTCAGTTGATGGACAGAAGCTGCGGTTTCCCTACGAGAAGGGAGGCCTGTGCGCTGGCATTTTGCCAGCTTGGAGAATCCATGCCTTTCTGGCAAAATGGAAGCATGATGTGATGAGGGACGTCTTTGGTGCCTCCTGGGTGCCTGACAACACACATGTTTCGTGTGAACCGGTGAGTGATGACTGTGACTTCTTTCTCTGCAGCTGTTTGTGGCGGAAGGGTTCTCAGTACGGCGTGTGCTTTGCCAACAAGGAGAGCCTGTGGTTTGACCGCTTGCATCACCTTCCCCAAAGCGACAGTGCCGAGGAGGGTCCCCTCTTCGAGAACGCTGCTGCCTGTGAGAGCTCCTGGAGCGAAGCCTCCACCAGCGCTGGTGATGGCAGCGAGGGCGATGACTGTGACCAAGATGGATCTCTCCAAAGCGAAGGTGGTGGCGGCCAGTCCTCTTTTGCTGAGCTGATCCAGGACATCCCCAACAAGGTCTGTAGTGACGATCCTGGCGGCGATCTTCCGCGTCAGGACCTACGGGCCGCGATTGCACGTTTCCCAAGGCCGGTTCTTTGTGGTGGGGACCTGCTCTTCACCGAGGAGCCCATCCAGGACGCCTTCGTTGGACGGCTCAACGGCGGCCAGATCTTCTCCTTCCCGGGCATCTTCATCTGGCAAAGCGTTTGCGAGGACAGCGTCGACGAGGGCAGCCACGGCGTGCTCGAGCAAACCAGTGACTGCTGCCTTTCCCCAGTTTTCACCCTTGGGTTTAGGGCCTGCTCCCCCCTAGGTGGTTTAGATGCTGGCCGGGCAGCTTGCGAGCTGTGGGCCAAGGACATGTGTTTCGATGATTGTTGCCCGGAAATCCCCCTAAGGTTTAGGGCCTTTTCCCCCCTAAATGGTTCTTCTGTGTATGCTGCAGGCTGCTCTTCTGACCCAGGGCTGCGCACTGAGGTTTCTCAAGGCTGTGGAGGTTCAAGCAGGTCGCAAGATCCGAGCACACCCCCTGATGCCGCGACCTCCTCCGACAACTGTTGCCCCGAACCCCCCTTTTGGTTTAGGGCCTTTCCCCCCCTAATTGGTTCTTCTATGTGTGCCGCAGGTTGCCATTCTGACAGTGTGAGTGCTAGAGCGCTGCTTGTGTCGGCGCTGCAAGAGCGCAATGCACGTTCAAGAGG